AGAATCCTGCACATGCTAAAAACTGTCGTTGTGACTATTTTAATCGTTCAAAAATTTGTATTTTTTGTATTGTTGAATGTATTGAAAAACGTACTCGTGCATGTTGGGTTGATAATGGCATCGAATTAGGCCCATGGGAATTTGGTTTATATTGAATTCTTTCTTCTCAAAACGAATTTCTTGGAGAAAACGAAATTAAAAAATGTCATTTAGAAGATATAGATCGTGTTAATCGAATCATTGAAGAGGGTATTTCTACACGTGAAATATTAGAGGATATTAAAATATTATATCCATGACATTGGCTTTGATCTTTGCAAGATCTTTTTTTTCTTGAAAAAAAAAAAGAACATCTTTTAACTAAAAAGCTTAAAAAATTTTGGAGACCAGTTACGTTTTACATTTATGGTGAGAGTGGAGCAGGAAAGTCTGGGCTAGTTTCTAAATTATTTTTTAATGAATATTATGCTAAATCTAAAAAACAAAAATCAGGATCTAACTGGTGGGATGGGTATAAGAGATATGAGATAGTTCTTTTTGATGAATGGTATACATCAATGGATTGGAATGATATTGTAAAATATTTGAACGATACTCTGGAGAATGTTGAGCAAAAAGGCAAGACATTTGTGTCTTTCCTTGCTAAGCATGTCTTTATGACATCTCACAAACCACCAGAAGAAGCTTTTAATTTTCGAAGATATAATATAAATGAAGAGATGTCAACTTAACATGATTGGGTCAATTTTATCATCATCTTGATTACGTTATCGAATTTAAGGGTATATGGCATAATAAGATAGATCTTTGTACTACCGAGTTAATATTTCATAAAGGTTCAGAGGAAGAATTTCGAAACATGACATGGGATATAAAATATCGTAAAGGTGAATTTACATCTGAGGAACTAAAGGCTGTAGTGTAGGAATTGAACAAAAATCAAGATGGTGAAGTAATTATTAAAGCTGACAATCAAGTTTACTGGTGTCATTGTTTTCCTGAGTTTAAAAAGAATTATCTACGTGATTATCCTAGATGCCACGAGCTTTCTGATTACAAACAGGAGCTTCTACAACAATCGCAATTAGTTTTATATTCAACTGTGACTGGGAAAAGATCTCAAGAACATATATCTGAATCCGAAATATATTTTGATGATGATTCTGACTATAGTTGTCAACAATCAATAGACGAATCTAGCATTACAGCTGCTATGCAAAAAAAATCTAACAAGCGATTGAAACATCATATCGAAAAATTTCTAAATGATTCAGATCATAATAATATAAATATACCAAATTCTCATATGATGCTTGATGATAATTATTTTGGTTTAAAACCTGTAGAGGTTATAGAAATGACCAATGAGTATGCTAGTAGTCAAGATCGATTATTTTTAACACAACGAGAAATTATAGAAAAGCAAAATGAAGAAAGCTGTCATCTCAATAAAGAGAATGAGTAATTATGATTACACAGAAATTATTGGCCATTTCTATATATAAAGTCTTGATATGTATTTTTTTAATATGTATGTATTTTTCAAAATGAATTTAAATAATTTT